AATCAATATGTTTTTAGAAATCTGAATTTTGAGTCAGAAAAAGGCTGAGGAAAGAAAATATACATTTTTCCCAGTTACAATAATTAAATTATGGTGAATTAAGATGTGAATTAATAAGAAAACCAAGGCTTGATATTACTGTCACACCACATAACTACATTAGGCCTCCAGAAAGAAAATTGCCTGGCATATGCAAACTTTGATGCATAAAATCAAGTTTCAGGGAGGAGGAGAAGGAGACAGCAGGCCTTTAGCTTTTCTTTTGGAACAGACTTATTTCTACCACTGAGGAGTTCTGTATGTCTAAAATGCTGGGGTAGGGTGCAGGGCCAGGCCTTCTGAGGCTTGGGTCTATTTCTGGCTCTATCAATGGCCTGATGTGTGACTTTCTCAAGGTCAGTGCCTCTGTTTTCCAAATTGTTGAGCAAAGAAAGTTATACTGTATTCAAAAGTAAAGGCCTTTAAGATCTGTTGATAAAAAGAACTGGGTATTACTCTTACATGAGATTTAACTTTTCACATTGTACCCTTGAGTGATGAAGGACAATAATTAGCTACTATGTTTATTCAACAATAGATTTAAAAGTTTCTTTGGGCTATATAATTCCTTTGACTTTTCACACTGGGAAACTGAGGCACAGGAAAGAAAAATAATTTGCGGAAAGAGAAATAACTGCCCAAAGTCATGTCAGCAAAATATTGGTGGAGCCAGGAGTAGCGCAAGTGTCAGTCTCAGTTATGTTCTGCACTTTAGCAAATGTTTCCCTCCCCATTATTATACAATGAAAATACATCAGAGTTAGAGAGAACAGAAGCGTGTTCTTACATACTTTTGTCCATTTAAATGATCCTTACATTGCCCTGAGGCTATGCCATGGAAATGGATAAAAAAGAATTATTGAAAACAGATTATAGATATATCAGTCAAGCTGATGTGATTCATTGGATTATTTGCACAAGCAATAGATCAAAATTTTAGGCACACTTTTTTTTTCTTCCTTTTTTTGGTTTTATTTTGTTTTGTTTAAGGAAGATGCTTTGGGGTACTTAGTGTAGCTCTAAATGACTGCGATTTATGGCACGTGAATTAATTCATTCTCTGTTTATTTTAATATATGAATTTTCATAAGAGGATGAAAGTAATTTTTAACTAACTTTACGGTAGATGAATATACTTTACCTTAGTCAATTACATATGTTGGAGAGTGACCTGCTATTTCAACGTTTTGCTTGTTTTCAGTCTCTAATGTTTCAGGAAAGAATGAAATAGGCGAGGAGTCAAACTACAAAAAGGTCACATTAGTAAAAGAATACTATATTGTATATTGATCACATTACGTGGAAGTCAAGTCCTGCAGGATGTTGAGAATTGTTGTAACAAGTGCTTAAAATGATAACACTGGAATCTGTTCCAAAAAAATGTGCTGAGGTTAGAACATAGTGCAAAGGTTACCACTTCTTATTAAGGACTATAAAATTATACTAGTACTTTCCCTGCAATATGTGACCAAAGAACATATAGAACTTACAGTTCTAGTTAACTGCATTGTAATATTTTCCCCTAGTCTAAATGCATGTGTACTATCACAAAGTAAAAAAAAAAAAAAAAAAAAAAAAACACTATGATTTTAAGTGCTCAAGTCAAAAACCCGGAGTTAGAACACAGGTCTTAAAATGAAAAAAAAAAAAAAAAAAAAGCACTATGTAGTTTAGTGCTGCAGTCTGAACACTGCAATGCCAAACTTAAGATGCAGAAGCCTGAAGTGGAATCCAGATCCCTGAGCCTGGCAACCAATCATCTCACATGCTGCACTGGAAAAATAGAGAATTAGGCCTGCACATGAAGATCTAGAGCATTGAAGACGCAACCCTGAGGCCATTTAAGTGAAATGCTGCAGTGGAATCTCAGTTCACTTTCTGGGGTCAGGACTGCAGCAAAACACCTCCCTCCACCCGGGCTCCACTGCTTGAAATGCTCTCCTGAAAACAGATAACCCACCTCTGTGGTATCAATCTTTTCCTTTAAAGTATGTGCGTGTGTGTATGCGTGTGTGTGTGTGCATGTGTGTGTGCGTGTGTGTGTGTTTTCGGGAGAGAGGAATAAAAGGAAGTGCCTCCCTACCACTCTGCTAGCATTTGTGAATAGCATTCATAGGGAGCAGACTATTCTTCCCAGTCAGGGTCAATTCCCTGCTAAGCTGGAGGGGGCTCCAGTCTGTCCCTTGACCTTCTTAAAATAACCTTTTCCTTTGATGAGTTGCCACACCTGTAGACTGTGTCATCAGCTGCAGTGAGGAATAAAACAAAATAAAATAAAACAAAATAAAATAAAATATAATATAATATAATAACCTTTCAGAAAAAGAGAGAGAGGAAGAGAAAATACTAATGAATATGTATGAATTCAGTGTTTTGGTAGACAGCTGTTCTGAATACTCCCACCAGTAAGGACAGTGGTTCCGAATTTTGGTCCGGTCCTAAGAACTCCTTAGGTATTTTAATGCAAGTAGTCACAGTGGAAACTGGTTCAGAAATCCAAAGTAATGTACAGAGTTTAAATAAAGAATATTAGTCAGGACCCTAGCCTGGCCTGCCCACTAAATTTTTTGCATCCACATCATCAGACTTTCAAAGCAATATGTCTACATGACTTTTATGGCAGAGTACACTCAGGCTGGATATAAAACTCATCTGCCTCTGTGATACCTATTCACTTTTGTGACATCTAGCATTTAAAGCTTTTAAGAATGAATCTATTTAAGAATTAGCCCTTATCAGACCAATGTTTCGCAGATAAAATTATCACAAGTACTAATGAGTATCTATACTGGAGTAAGAATGTTCATATACTTTACTACAGGCTCCAGGGTTTAAACCTCTGATGTGTGAAGTCTATTAGGTCAAAGTTAGACTCATCTAAAAGCACAGTACAAGCAGGTCCTCCCAGGGATCCGCACATCCTGGAGGGTGCTATAAGCAGTAGACTGCAGACTCATGCTCCCTCTCTCCCTTTCTCTGGTTCAAGGGATCTTAAAATCCTTCTTATAAAAGTGAACAGCTGCAGCAAGAGGGCTGGTAGCCTGGTGGTTGAGGGTACGAGCCAAGAAAGAGGAACATGTGGGCTGGAATTCTCTTACGCTGTAAAGACAGAGAATTTTGATTTTCTAATCCTGAGCCAGTCTGCTACCCACTATATAGAAGTAGGCAAACTACTTCTCCAAGTTTCTTCTCCTCTTCTCTTCTCTTCTCTTCTCTTCTCTTCTCTTCTCTTCTCTTTTCCCTTCCCTTCCCTTCCCTTCCCTTTCCTTCCCTTCCCTTCCCTTCCCTTTATTCTCTTTTTCTTTCTTAATCGTCATCATCCACCACAGCATCATTTTTCAAAGCTCCATCTGGTGAATATACCACAGGGAGATTTGGAACACATTCACATGTCACTGCCCTCAGGAAAATAAGGAAGAAAAACACCTTATTTCAGAAACCTTGTCAGGCTTAAATGCAATTTAGGTGGAAATCCAGTAGTGCTGGGAACACTGCTCACTGAAACATACTGAGACAGAAAATTCTGAGAGGACATCCTTGTTTTAGTTTAACCCCTCCTCCTACACTTAATTAAAACTGGATAAGCTGAATTGGTTTAAAGTCATTTTATATACCAAGGGAACATAACTTCTGCAGGTTTTGTATCAACATATTGAGGCACCTATCTTAACTTCCTCTACCAGAATATCTAAAATCTGAATAAAGCCACAATTCCAAATGAAATTATGATCCTGCAACTTTTTTTTTATGCTGAGACCATCTTATTTTGGAGTGTACATACACACACATGCACATGCACACACACGCGCACACACACACACACACACACACACATGCACACATATAATAGCATGTCTACAGTGTGGGACTTCTTTACTGTGATTGTATCTTCCACAGAAATAACGAAGCCAATTTTAAACTAGGTAACATGCATATTGCAAGTGGAGTATCCACAGTAATAATTTCTTCAGTACGAATTTTGCAGCTACTCTGAGTTCTGCTTTACAACATCTACAATCTTAGATAAACTACTGAGTTTCTGAACATGTTCTCAAATAAGATAAATAGATTATGAACCGATGTTACTTACATAGTCATAGCAGCAGGGAGAAGGTAGATTACCAACTGGGAAAACTGGTAAAGTCATCCCAAAACCTCTGCCCATTTCAAGGTATTTTCCATACTAGAAGTAAAAGTGTTCCTATTCAGAAGGCAAGTACCTTGCCCAAGCCAACCTGCTCATGTTTAGTTAAGGACGATAATTTGTACCCAAAAGAAAGGTATAGAGAAGCTCATTGTCTTAGGCTTCTAGAAGTTGTAGAGAAAAACAGGAGGTAAAATATGTCAGTCAGAGCTAGGAAAAATATGCAGAACTGATCTCTCCTTGGTTTGACTGGGGTGCTCTAATCCACTGCATAACCTGAAGCGATAATGTGAGCTCCAGTTATTCAACCTATGTATGAGTTGCAAACTGGGATGCACACTGGGATGTATATCCTGAATTTTAAACACCTAGATTCAGTGGTATTCTAATGCTGCCTGACATTTAGCATGCTCTTTCAATAAAAGAATGAAAAATCTTAGCCAATAGAGATTCTGATCCACCTGATCCAGGAGCAAGTGTTTTCTTAAAACACCTAGAGGCAATGTTTCCCTACTTAATTCATGAAGTCAAGAAAATCTGAAAATTTAGGATTATGGCACTGAATAACGGTAGACTCATTTTCTGACCTACCAAATCTAAAAAGTATGATGCCTCTTCTCCTTCCTGACTTGTCTTCTAGATGGTAATCTCTGCATGGCAGATACTCTCCCAATATTTATATCAACATATATGAGATATATACTTCTTTATGTATTTCCAGTATATACAGCTGCTAGCTGTATGCTCTCTAAATACTATCTCTTAGAAGTTTCATAGCACACATAAACACTCTTACATCTTCTGGGAAATGTTTTACCTTCTCTTTTCACTTTGAATTTTCAAGGCCTCAGATGGCTTCTACCGGTTCCCACCTCTCAGCAGATCCCTTGGAAGAAGCAAGCAATTTGTCCTTCACGCTTTGACAGCAGGTCGTTGTCTCCTTCTTCTTATTTGATTCGTATTTATTTATTTAATATCTTGCTAATGTTCAGCTCCTCTGGTTACATTTTGATTGTTTCTACGGTGCCTGAGCAATTTTAATAGCACAAAGGTAAAGACGCTAAGAAGCTTTATTCTATGGCAGGAAGGCAACATGCTCTTTAGCCCTCCTGCCTCACATCCCAGCGAGTACTTGCCAGGCTCCAGGATTTCAGCATGTCCTCCCTCGTGCTGCTACTCATGGTGACAGCGTCACCCTGCTGCTGCTGCGGATACTAGGAGAGTGAGTACCCTATCCCTACCCCTACCTCTATCCTTACTGCTACCGCTACCCCTATCCCTGCCCTTTCACCTAGCCCTGCCCCTACCTGCCCCCTTTCCCCTTGATGTCCCGCCTCCCCCAGGGGTATCCTGCAGGCTTCACTGCCTCCGACTCCCTCTGCAATTCCTGATCCACGGCAGGTTTCCAGACCGCCTGACCCCCCCACCCCCACCCCACCCCGATATGCACCGAGAGACAAAGTCAAAGAAACAGACTGGAGAAATGAATTAATGCGCCTCAGCGTGGCGCCAAGTTTCCTTTCCCTCTCTTTTCTCCTAATGAAACCACTAATACATTTCTTGTGGTGCTTTCTGTCTCAGTGGCATTTTCTCTCTTCTGCCCCGCTTGCAATTTATCGGGCGGGTGCTTTCAGGGCCAGGATTTCTTTTTTTTTTGCCTGCTCCGTTTCCTTCTCCTGTCCCATTACCTCCCCCTGCGCCCCCCATCCCTGCCCGCTAACCAAAAGGCTAAATCTTCAACCCGAGGAGCCGAGATGGCCACGGCAGCTGCTGTAACTTTTTTGTGATCATATTGCACTAATTTGATAAGATCGTCGGTGGTAGGGTGTCTGATGCGCTCGGTAGCGGTAGCCAGGGAAAAGCTTTGACCAAATTAGCGTGCCGCCGGGACCAAGAGGAGTGGGCTCCATATGGCTCCTTGACTTTCCTTATAAATATCCCTCCTCCAGCCCACCCCCGCCTGTTACACCCCCGCCCCTACCAGGATGCTGCGAAGTTCCCCAGCGGGGCCAGCGCAGAGGTCGGACGGGCGCGGGG